TGCCCAAGAATTCCAGACCAGAGCTGGGGCTGGGCTTGCCCAGAAAGCTTGAGGAACAGGAGGAATCTGGGGCAAGTTGTGGTTTTTCACACCCACGCTAATGAGTTTATTCTGCAGATAAACTAAATGGACCAACACAGAGAGGTTTGGTCCCTATACACGAATGTTTCACATTTCCCAGTGCCAATTCTCTGGAAGCTCCCAATTCTGTTTCATTTGGCTTATTTTTTTCACTACATATGCACCAGCACTGCGGTACAGGGACCAGGGCCTCGTCCTTCAGAGGACACTTGAAGCCAGGGCACAGCAGCAGTGCTGCTCCTTCTGCCACTGATGCTTTGTGCCAGCTGGCTGCAAGGGACAGGAGCTTGCTGTGCTCCTAGGAGCTGGGCAGGAGCTCACCTTGCTCTGCAGGCTTTTAATCTGCAGATTCTGCTTGTCCAGCTTGTACTGCTGCTGCTTGATCTTCTGCAGGAGCTCCTCAATTCTCGAGTTCTGGGCATCCATCAGGGTCTGCAGGGGAGGAAGAGCCCGGTGAACCCCGCAGCCACGGGCGCAGCCTGTGCATGCATGGCACGGAGCACCAGGGCAAGGTCCCCGCGGGCAGCTCGCAGTGTCCCCAGGTCGGGTGCTCCCAGTGCCCTGGGCAGGTCGGTTCCCTCCGTGCTGCTCCCCGTGTCCCAGCAGGGTTTGTCCCCCTGTGTGTTGGGAGGGTCGTCGGGTCCCCGGCGCCCTGCTCCACCCGGAGCGCTGTGATGGGGTCGGTGCTCCCACTCGGGTGAGGTCCCCTCCCATCCCCGTTTCTCCGGGTCGCTCCCGGTGCCCCATCGGGTCGGGTCCCATCAGCTCCGCTGTTCCCGTTCCCACCGCTCCCGCTCGATTCGGGTCCCCCTCCATCCCCAGGGGCTGCTCCCTCGGGTCTCCCCCGTTATGCCCATCGGGTCGGGTCCCCCCGGAGCCCTCCGCGTCTCCGCTCCGCGCCCACCTGCAGCGCTCCCAGGTCCTTGGAGCTTTGGTTCTCCGCCGGCCGCGCCTGCAGCGCCTGCCGCACGCGGCCCTCCAGCTGCTCCAGCCGGCCCTGGATCTCGGCTTTGTCGGCCGCCACCTCCTCCAACCGCTGCCGCAGCGCCTCGGAGAGGTTGAAGAGCTGCCGCCCGCGGCCCTCCAGCTCCCGCACGCTGGCCCGCAGCAGCTCTCCCTGCTCCTGCGTCTCCCGAGCCTGGCGCAGCAGCCGCCCCATGGAGCTGTTGTGGGCGCTCAGGCGGCTGCCGAGCTCCCGCATCTGCCCCTTGGTCCTGTCCACGTGCTCCTTCAAGCCGTGGCCGAGCTGCAGCAGCCCGTGGGCGATCACGTTCACCTCATCCCAGGAGGCGAACTGCGCCCTCCGCTCTTTGCCGCCCGCCGCCGGCCGCCGTTCGGTCCCGGTTCGGCCCATTCCCGGTGCGGGTCCCGCCGCCATCCCCGCCGCCGCGGCGCACAGCAGCAGCGCTGCCCCGGAGAGCTGCATGACCGCCGGTCCCGATGTGCACCCAGCCGCCGCGCCGCCCCTTTTATCGGCACCCGGGCGGAGAGCCGCGCATCGCTGCGGGGAATGCCCGCCCCGCGCCCGCCCCGCGCCGCCCTTCCCCGCCGCTTTGTTCGCCTTCCCCGCGCCGAGCCCAACCCCGGCCCTTCCCGCAGCCCCAACCGAGCAGCCCCGGCTCATCCCCCCTCCAAACCCTTACGGACCCGGTTCCGAGAATCCACCCGGGGCAGCCCGGCCGCTCCCCTGTGAGCCCCGCCCTGCCCGTGCCTGGCATTGCTGTCTGTCTCCTCTCCATCTCGTCCCCATCGCCACTACTTTGCCGTCCAAACCTCACCCCCGTCCCTTCCCCATCCCATCCGTTCTCCATCCTGTCTCTTCCCCATCCTCATCCTTATTTCCAAATTCCATCCATACCCAACCGCCATTTCCATTTCTTCCACATCCCATTCTCATCCCTATCTCCATCCTCACCCCTTCCCCATTCCATCACTATTCCTTCCCTCTCCCCACCCCCACCATTTCTGCATCCAAACCCCATACCCATCTCTTCCCCATCCTCATCCCCATCCCATTCCCTCCCATTCCCATCTCCATTTCCATTCCTTACCCATCACATTCCCATCCCTTTCTCCATCCTCATCTCTTCCTCACCCCATCCCCATTCCTATTCCATCCCCATTCCCACTGCCATTCCTATTCCTTCCCTGTCCCATCCCATCTTTTCCCCACTCCTGCCCCATTCCCATCCCCATTTCCATTTGTTGATCATCCCATTCCCATCCCTACCTCCATCCCCATCTCTTCCCCACTGCATCCCTATTCCCATTCCCATCCCCAATCTCCATCCTCATTCCCATTCTCATCCCTCTTCCCATCTCCATCTTCATCCGCATTCCCATCCCCATTCCCATCCCCATTCCAATTCCTATCCCCATCCCACCCCATCCCATCCCCATTTTCATTCCTACTCCCATCTCCATCCCCATCTCCATTCCTATTTTCATACCCAATCCCCTCTCCATCCCATCCCATCCCATCCCATCCCATCCCATCCCATCCCATCCCATCCCATTCCATTCCCATTCCCATTCCCATTCCCACCCCATTCCCCCTGCTGGCAGTCCCACCCACATCCTGGCTGCCCTCATTCCCTGAGCTTTGCCACTTGCCCCTATGGAGCTCCCACCCATGGGTGCTGTAGGTTCGGGGCTTACGAGCAGAGCTGCTCTGGGTGGAGAAGGAGACCCGCTCCTCTGAGTGCAGCCCATCCCCAGGAATGCCCCTCTGAGAGCTCATTCATCCCCCTCCATTCATTTGCAAACGTCTTTGACTCCGTCAGCAGCTCTTCCCTCGGGCGCTGCCTCTTCCCCTGGCTTAGAGGGATTTTCTGTCTGTGTTTTTTGGTTTGTTTTTTTTTCTTTCTTTCTTTTTTTCCTCCCCACGAAGGAATTCACGCTCCTTGGCCGCGCCGCTCCCGGCTCTGCAACAACAAAAAACGCCCGTTGCGGTCGCGTTCGGCCCCGTGTGTCACCACGGTGGGAGCCTGGGACACGGGGGGGTGACAGCGCTGGGGGGGGCAACCGCAGCCCTGCACGGCGCCAGCGCGGGGTTCCCCTCCCCCTCAAAAATCAAAGCTATGGAAAATCTCTTTCTCTCCGTCCTGCCACCTTTGGGCGCCCAGGAAAGAGGCAGCGCTGTGCCCGCGGGGCCGGAGGTCGGAGCGCCCCCAGAGCCCCGGCAGCGGGGAAGCGCAGAGCTCGGAGCCATTGGGCCGAACGGGGCAGCACGGCTCCGCGTGTTGACAATTCCTGCGGGTTAATGATGTCACGGTAAATGAATCCTGTGAGTAACTCAGCTCCCTGCCCCGCCGTTACCCAACATCAGAGTTCGTCCCACATCGCAGCCTGGGGAGCAGCGGGGTTACGTGGGGTCCTGGAGCAAACGTAACTGCAGTGCTGATTTGTAATGGTTGTGTTGAGAGGCAACGCGAGGAGCCCGAACCCTTCCGGAAGCTGCATGATTGATGCATTTTACTCGGGATGTGTTTTCCTATTGGGACGATGCCAGTTTGCCCTGAGATATATGAATTTTTAACACTCGAAAATGAAAAGCTCCCCTCTGAGGCCCCGAGCTACCTGTGAATGGGAATGGAGTAATGGGAAGCTGCATGCAACTTTAAATAGAGCTTAAAATGGAGTCTGGTGGCTCTCAGTGTATTTCCAGCACCCCATTCTGCCCTGCATGGAAAAGAGGCTCCAGCACGGCTGGCTGCTCCCTGGGCTGTGCTGGGCAGGGCTGGAGTTTGCTGGCACACAGGACATAATGGTGGCACTGACATAACGGGGGTGATGCTGTCTCTTTCCTTTGGCTGTGGGGACAGAGGACCACACAGCCCCCACCCACGACAGATCCTGCAAGGGGTCCCAGCCCAGCAGATCCTGCAGCCTGTGGGACCTCGCAGCAGCCCAGGGAGCAGCAGGGCACTTGGTGGTGCCTCCCAGGTCTCTGCCCGTTCCATTGGCTTCATCCCCTGGCCCCAACAGGGTCGAAAGCAGTTAATTGTTGTTAATTTTAGGGGTATCTATCTCTGCAGGCACAGGGGACCCTCCGTATCATCACCCCCATCCCATCGTTATTGCAGTCACCGTCTCCATTATCAGCCCCATCCCCAGATTAGATCCCATCACCTCCCCATCCCCATCCCCACTTCCATCACATCCCCATTTCTTCCCCATTCTCATTCCTATCTCCATCACCTCTCCATTTCCACCCTATCCTCACTACCATCTCCATCCCCACCCTTCATCCTCTTTCCAAACCCCATCCCCATTCCATCCCATCCCCATTCCATCCCCACCCTCATCGCCTCCCTATCCCCATCTCCATCCCCACCCTCATCCTCTTTCCAACCCCATTTCCATCCCATCCTCATCCTCATCCCCATTCCTATCATCTTCCCATCTCCATCCCAATACTCATCCCATCCTCATTACCATCTCCATCCCCACTCCCCCAACTTCTTTCCAATCACCATCCCTATCCCACTCCATCCCCGTCCTCACCCCACTCCACCCCCATCCCCATCTCTGTCCCCATCTCCATCCCTGTCACCTCCACATCCCATCCTCATTACCATCTCTCCCATTCTCTTTCCTACCCCCATTTGCATTCCATCCCCATCACCTCCCCAACTCCATTACCACCCCCTCTCCATCTCCACCCCATCCTCACTACCATCTCCACCCCCACCCCTCATCCTCTTTCCAGCCCCATCCCATCCACATTCCCATCACCTCTCCTTCCCCATCTCCATCTCTACCTTCGTCCTCTTTCCAACTCCATCCCCATCCCTATCACCTCCCCTTCCCCAAAGCCATCCTTATCCCATCCTCATTACCATCTTCATCCCCAACCCCCCAACCTCTTTCCAATCCCCATACCCACTCCCATCCTCTTTCAAACCCCCATTCCCATCCCATCCCCATCCTCACCCTCATCTCTATCACCTCCCCATCCCCATTTCCACTGCCATTTCCATCCTCATTACCACATCCATCCCTACCCCCCTCCTCTTTCCAAACCCGATTCTCAACTCCATCCTCTTTCCAATCCCTCTCCCCACCCCGGCTCCCCCCATGTAGGGTGTGAGGGCACCAACCCCCACTTCTGCACCAGGAAATCCCACAGGCAGTGCCGGCACTGCACCCATCCCTGCACTGCTTCCATTTCTCACACCACTTGGCTCTGTGCTCCTTTCTTCCCCGGATTCCTCCTTTCCATGACTGCTTCGCATTGCCTTCCTTGCAGCCTCTCTTCCAGGCACTGCGCCGTCAGCTCCCCCAGCACATCTGGCTGCACACCAGCAGCGGGCAGCTCCAGCCACGGGCGCCTTTGTTCTCTGCCTTTCTCCATCCCGCTCCTTCCCACGCTGACCCCCAGGTCATTGTGTGAAAGTTCGGCCCTGCCTGAACTCAAAGGCAGTTCCTCCTCCTGCTGCTCAGCCCCGGCGTGCCCTTATGGTTACAAACAGCCGACGTGAGGGAGACTCCAAGGAGAGGGGAATGGGCCATGTGTGAGTTGTGCCGTCACCGCTTTGGGGATAAATTTAGGTTTTGCAGTGGAACAATCGCTGTGTTGGAGGTCAGAGGGATTTCCCACCGGCGCTTCTCACCCAGACGGCGCTGGGTCAGCGGGCAGAAGGTCGCCCTTGCCAGGAAACCAGAGGGCTTTGGTGAACATGGGAGGCTCAGCAGGCAGAGAAATCGGACTCTTATTTTCACAGTCATCGCTCAATTGGAACAACATGTGTTTCCAATTAGCGGCTCTCCCTGCCTGGGCTCACAGCTCATCCACCCCAGGAGGGCGATGCGCATCGGAGCACGCCGTGTGCTCCCAGCCCCGCGGATCCCAGCCCAGGGCTGAGTGCTGCACTGTGCCCAGCCACAGCTTCACTGCTCCTTGAGGGGGCGATGGGGCACATGGGCACCTCGGTGCTTTTGTCACTGGCCTGGCCGGTGAAAGACTCTGCATTCATCGGTACAGAGGGGTATTAAATAACAGTGGGGCTGGTGTTGGTGGTCATAGTGGTAATGGTGGTGATGGTGGTGGTAATGGTTATAATTTCAATGGTCTTTATTTGGACAGTCATAGAAGAATTCTGTGATTCTTTGACTGCCTTGGCGATGGCGATGGCAGTGGTGATGGTGATGGTGATGGTAATAATTTGGGGCATCTACCTGCTATCAAGAGGCTGCTCTGCTTGGACAGCACTACTCCTGGAAATGACTGCAGCCTGGCAGGGTTTGGGCTCAGCCCTGCTGGGCACCATGGGCTGTGTGAGCTCCCCTTGGCCACCCTTACAGGAGCAGTGCCCAGACCTGGAGGCACTGAGAACAGCCTGGCACCCAAAGGCTCCCTCTGACTCCAGCAGCACTCAGTGCCTGCGGGTGACGACGACCCCCAGCCTGCTGGCACAGCACAAACCACTTTTTGGCCACATCGAGTGCTGCCCTCCGGGTCACCTCTGTGCCAAGGAAGACTCTGCCCAGCACTGGGTGCCAATGGCCGGTGAATGGGGTCTGGTGCTGAACCCATGGACCGCAGCAGTGACCTTGGGATGCTGCCTCCCCCTCTGCCCCTATGGGACCATGTCTGCTTTTCCCACGGGAAGGGAGATGTTGGCTCAGGACAGCACGGGCGATGGCCATGGGAATGCCAGGCAGAGCGGATACCCTTTATCTTTATCCTTCTCCTTCTTCTTATCCATCCAACAAAAAGGAAAAACACATGGGATTTTTGGCACAGTCCTGAAAGTCCCAGCTGAGAACCAAACCTCTGCCCAGCACCTTCCAGCTCGGTTCGTGGTTCAATCTCCATCCGGATCCACAGCCACGCACAGGAGCAGCCATGGTAACAGTGACACCCAGCCCAAAGGCACACTCAGAGGCACACGTACAGGAAAGCTGCACCGTGACGCATCCAGGAACTGGGAATATTTCCTGCTGCTGCAGATGGTCACATCAGCAGGTGATGGGAAGGGACAGCACAGCCCGGGGGACTGATGAGAGGTGACAGACTGCAGCTCCCCTTACCAAGGGCACATTCCTGCGGGGTCTGTGAATACGTTTTAGTCTTTATCGGAGGATTTTCCGGATTTTCACGCTGCAGCTCAGCAGCACAGGCAGCGTGAGGTGTTTGGGACGCACAGATCTCTGTGTCGGTGCCAGCACCTCCCGGATCCAAACAGGGCCAGTGTCACAGCCCTGAGCTGGTCCCAGCAGCAGGCCCAGACCCCACGGGCTGCTGAGTGACCACAATGACACCGACTGCTCTCCGGGTGATGCTGAGCCTCAGTGCAATGCTCTGTGTGCATGGGGACCCAGCACTGTGATCGTCACCACAGCTTCAGGGTGAGCAAGCAGCACCATGCTGGGTGCCTGCACAGCCACTGCATGAACGCAGCTTCAGAGCTCGGAGCTCACTGGCGTGATTCTGGGGGTCACCAGTGCTGGAGATGCCTTGAGCCCATGGGAGAGATGGATCCTCACTGCTGGCACGCCGTCCTTTAACCTTGGACTTTAGCAAAAGGGCCAAAAATAGCCGCCAAAAGGGAAGAGCCGACCTTTGCTATTTGAAGAAATGTTTGCACTGTCAGCACGAGCGCGGCTCGTTCGGGGGATTTTGTGAAAGGTGCCAGGCCAGGAGCTTCGTGCTCACCCCAACAGCAGCCAGGATCCCCACTGGGAGGAATGATCCTCCCCGGAATGTGAGCAGAGCTGCTGGGCTTCCCCAGAGTCAACAGTGCTCCTCTGCTCGAATGCACGGCTGTGGGGTGGGAAGGAGGGGGCGCTGACACTGGGAACGGACCCAGAAGTTGTTTGGGATTGAATGGCAAATCCTAACGCCGTGCTCATGGTTTGAATGTGCTAAAGCAAAGCATCCACTGGAGGAGCAGCGTGGGGACCCAGCACTGCATGGCCACAGCTGCACTGTATGGGTGACCCCGTGGTGCTATGGGGCCGATTCTGAGCGCTGCTGGCCCAGCCTCAGATCCCAAAAGTACACAGCCAGAGCGCTGCCCGCAGGTAACCCGCCCCACAGCTGCCGCCCGACCTTCCTGCCAGGCTGGACTGAAATTAGAAGCAATTAAAAATTAATCTTGGCGCGGGCTCAGATCAAACTTTCTACCCATTTTTAGCTGCATGTCGCTTTGGGGATGGCGTGCAACTGTGTTCAGCCAGTGATGCAATGTGTGCGGGGGTCTGCAGGGCGTGAACGGACCCGAGGGCAGCCAGTGGTCAGAGCTGAGGTGGGGAGAGCCGGGGTGAACAACCGGAGAGCACGGCTGCAGCAGTGCTGGGCTGATCCTGCAGGGCTTCGTGCCCGCCTCGCAAACAGACGGCTCTGTTCTCTGCTTCTCAGTTAATTCTTGCTCAGCGCCTTCATTCAGTTCATTCGTTTCCTCTTCCAAATGAAGAGGACTCACGGGATGAGGCATGCTCGGGGCAAAGCGAACAGAGCTGGGGCTGGGAGTGGGGACAGCAGAGGGGCTGAGCCACGGCCCCATAGCATTTCTCCTGCAGGGGCACCCGGCAGCCATGGCAGCACCCATGGGTGCTCATGGTGGGACCACTGCCACCTGTGCCACGATGCATCCCTGGGGCTGCCATAGCCATGGGACCTTCCCCAGTGTCCTCTCACGTTGTACCAACCTGTCCCCGCTGTCCCCACTGATCCGTCCCCACAATTCAAGGCTCCATTACAGAACCAGGTGAGCACCATTCTGGTGCTGATGCAGGAGCCCAGCGAGCCCCCGGGCCATCTGTCCCCAAGGAGCACCAGGGCTGGAAACAAGCAAAGCCCCCTAATGCCTGCAGTCAACATGGCTTTGATCCAGAGGAATGGGGAATTTCCAGCTCCTGCTCTCTGCTTTGGCATGGATGGCAACTGAGAAGGCCAGGTGTCGCATGATGAGTGGCTCTGGGAGGCAACCCAGCCAGGACATGGCCTGGGAGCTCGCGGGGAGGGCTCAGTGTGCTCAGGGGGCACCTGTCCTGGGTGAATCCATGGTGCCCTTGGCTGTGGCACTGCGGAGCCCCTGTCCCAGACACTGCTGCAGGTGTCAGACGGCGGCGGGGAGGAAAATGCCAACCCTCATTGATGTTACTGCGACAGCGAGCCCCAAACCTGACCAAACGGATCAGGCAGAGATGGGAGAGCTGAGCAATTAGTGCAGTTATTATTAGTGCTGTCAGAACGGGTTTGCAGATAGACAGGGTGGAGGAATCTGTGCCTGGTGTGGGAGAAGCGCTGGGGATGTGGCACCGCATGGGGATGTGCTCAGGAGTCCTGAGACGGGGACTGGGGACATGGCTGGGCATCAGAGTGAGCCAAAGGAGTGGGCAGGCACTGCTGCTGGTGTGGAGCCCTGAAATCACTGCTCTCATCACTCCTGCCAGGACTCCCAGCGATGCAGCACCAGGCGGAAAGGTGCCCCACCACTTTGTTGCTGTATGTAGGGCATCCCCAGGGAGCCCACAGCAGCTTGCGCCTCACCAGGGCTCCCCATGGTGCGCTCCAAGAGGCGCCTAATTCATCCTTTCAGAGCAGAGATCAGATGGATTAAGGCTTGCTGAACGCTTGCCAAAAGAATTGCCATTAGGCCCCGGAGAGCTTAATCTCCACTGGACTAAAAGCAGGCTGGCTCACCCTGTCTGTGAGGGGATCAGTGCCCAGGGCAGGATCTGGGGGGCTACGGGATCCTCCGTGTCCTGTAGCCCCAAGGCTGGTGCTGCTGTGCTCCAGCCCACGCTGCCCTGGGGTGTGATGCACAGGAACCACGGCGGGTGCTGCAACTCCGCATGCTGTTGTTCTCTGATGAGCTGTTCCCTGATTTCCTCACTTATCTCCTTGCAGATTAGCTTCCCCAAACTGCCCTTGCCCGCGTGCTTCTGGGCTGACTCACGTTTGTTATTTCCTGACCATATCTCTGATTTCCTTCTCTGCCCTCCTTCAGGGTCCGGCACTTCTCAGGGTGTCCCTGACCCACTGCTCCCCAACCTCAGGGCTGAGTTCGGGGACCATGAAGTCATAGAATATGACTCATATAGTCATAGAACCACAGAATCATAGAATCACAAGGTTGGAAACGACCTGCAGGATCATTTAGTCCAAGTCCTCCCACACTGCAGCACCCCACTGGTGTGGATGGAGGGCCCCACTGGTGTGGATGGAGGGCCCCACTGGTGCTAATGGAGAACCCCAAAGTTCTCCAGCATCCCTCCCCTCACCAGTACTGTATGGGTGAGTCTGGCTGCCTTCACAAAGAGCCATGAAAGCCTCCATGCCATCCCTGCTTGGACCAATGCAACTCTGGGGCCAGCAGCCTCCATCCCTCCTCATCCCCTCCTCTCCCCACTCCTGTCCCCTGGCTCTGTGGGTGGGGGCTGGGCACAACCCTCCTGTCCCCATCGAGATGATGCAAGCAGAGCTCGGTCAGCAGCGATATGCTGTTCCAGCAAAGCAAACACAGCTCTCAGCCTCGTGCCATTGCAACAGCCCCAGGAGCAATGTGCTGCCTGCATAGCGCTGGTGAGAGCCCGAGCCCATGGCTCTGCTGAAACACGAGCCCTGGGGCTGGGATGGGACCAAACACTGCCTACGTGCCCAAGGAAGTGCAAAGGATGTCTCCCAGTCGGTGACATTCCCACACCGGTGGCACAGGAACCAGGACCAGGAGTGGGTCCTGCACTGAGACACTGAGCTGAGATGGGCAGATGTGGGTGAGAGTGAAGCTGAGCCTTGCCCTCGCTCCCTTGGTGTCATGTTCACAGAAGCAGCATGTTCCAGCAGAGCCATAAACGGGGAAGAAATAAACCTGCCTTTATCTGCCCGCAGGGCCTTGGGGCTAGCTAAGTTTGGAAATGAACTAAAAAAACAGGGTTTGTTTTCACACTGAGCCGAAACCAGAGCAGGAGCCGGGAGGGGGACTTTTTTGCTTTCAAGCATCACTGGATGAAGGCTATTCCTTTCCCCGCCACCCACAGGACTATTTCCCAACAGGTCTTTAAAGCTGTGCCTTGCAACACCATTGTTTTGAGCAGAAAGCATCATGTGCTGGCCAGGCTCGTGGTGCCGACTCGCTGCTGCTTGGGAGTCATGCTCATATCGCAGCCTGGTCAGAAGCCACAGGTCTGGCCCCAGCTCAGCTCAGTGCTGCTCCTCACATGGGCACAAACAGGTTCCTTCCCCTCTGAACCTTAACCCAGCAGCCCCCTGGCACAGTCTCAGTGTCAGTGAACTTGAAATGAACTGTTTTGGATCACCTTCCCCGCAAGAAGCTGTGGGTGCTGCAGATACGGAGATTTTTATCCAGGGACAGTTATGAAGTTTTCATCCAGAGGAAGCCATTCCCAAACAAGCTGTCATCATTCTTTTTGCCCGTTCTGCTCCACATCTGGGAAGACTCATGGTACTACAGGCAGCCATCACCATCCCCAACACATCACCACTCATTGCCACCAACGGCCAGCCCACCACCAATCACAAAGTCATCACAACCCCATTGCTGCCAATCACAACTCCCCACACCGATCATCACCCGTCACAGATCCACCGTTAATCCATCAGCACTCAATGCCACCCATCCCCAACCTGATCCCTTCAATCACAAACCCATCACCAACCCACTGCTGCCAATCTCCACTCTCCACCCCCCATCACCACTCAATGGCCATGCTACCCATGGCCAACCCATGGCCAACCCATGGCCAACCCATGGCTATCCTATGGCAAATCCATGGCCAACCCATGGCTATCCTATGGCCAACCCATGGCCAACCCATGCTCATCCTATGGCCAACCCATGGCCAACTCATGGCCATCCTATGGCCGACCCATGGCCAACCCATGGCCAACCCATCACCCATGGCCATCCTATGGCCAACCCATGGCCAGCCCATCACCCATCCCCAACACATCTCCAACCCATTGCTACCCATCACAACTCTCCATCACCCATCACCACACAGTGTTACCCATGACCAACCCATCACCCACCCCCAATCTATCCCCCAACCTCAACTCTCCGCCATCCATCAAAAACTCATCACCACTCAATGCCACCCATCCCCAACCCATCACCAACCCACTGCTAACCCATCACTGTTCATTATCATCCATGATCACCCCATGGTGATCCATCACCCATCCCTGACCCACCTCCAACCCATCGCTACCAATCTCAACTCTCCACCACCCATCACAAACTCATCACCACTCAATGCCACGCATGGCCAACCCATGGCCAACCCATCACCCGCCCCCAACCCATCTCCAACTCATTGCTACCAGTCTCAACTCTCCACCACCCATCACAAACCCATCACCACTCACTGTGTACCCATGCCCAACACATCACCCAACCCTACCCCATTCCCCAACCCGCTGCTGACCCATTGCCACCCGTGCTCAATGTGGACCATGCCCTCCTGGTGACACAAAGCCACAGCTGGATCCTGTTTGGTGATGGAGGGGACACTGCATGTGTGTGCAGGGCTGGAGCAGCCCTTCCAGCCTCTGGTGCGCTCCATGCTCCCAGCCCACAGCCTGCAGTATGGAAGCCATACATAATTAACAACAGCCGTGGTAGAACGGCCGCGTGCTCAGGGCCTGCGCTCATTCCCAGGCTCTTGCATTTATATTTCATGAGCACATCCCTCAGAAGCACAGTTTTAAGGAGAAAAAAAAAAAAAAAGAGAGAGAGAAACTGTCAGCTCAGGTTCAGCTCTGCCCTCGCTCGCTTCCAGGCTGTCTGCTTGTTTGTTCTTGCCTCAACCCCTTCATTAACCTGAATTAAAGCGTCATTCAAACCGACAGCTCCTGGCTGCCTCACGGCGAGGCTGTTTGGGACGATCGGCAGCCAAGGGATGCGCCGGGCACCCGCAGCATTTGTGCCCTGGCATTTTCCTTCCCTGTGACCTTTGCTGACGGTGTAAAGCAACCCCCAGCGCAGCGTTTGCAGCTTCACCCGGGTGTAAATGGAGACAGCCGATCATTTTCACACGTGGGGAAAAAAAACAATAAATAAAATTTAAAAAAAAATCACTTTTTGATGGACTTGTGCCGCCCTTTTCC